CGTCTTTCTCGCGGTGTCGGTCGTCCTTCGTGCTCTGTATCTAACAGCGTGAGAGCAAAGTCTGCTTGGGGGTTCGAATTCGAGAGTCTCTCGGTGGGGGGCCAGAGGCTGGGCGGGGCCTTTGCCTCTCCCAACTCGGATCCGAGTCGCTTTGACCAGCGAGCGCAGTAAATTATTTTTTTGCAAACGATCAAGATTCAGTCAGGGGGGTGCGTGTGCATGCATGGTTTTGCGGGTTTTGAGATGCGGTCTCATGAGTGCCTCACTGTATCACTTTGGTAGCTGTCTGGGCCCGACCTCCCCCCTCGAACCGCTTCGGGCTCGCGCGCCATTTTTCCTTTCGCAGACTTTGTCGGCGGGGGGCCAGGGGCGGGGCGGAGCTTCCGCCCCCCCAGTTTCGGATCCGAGCCGTTTGGGCCAGCGAGTGCGCCAGCGCGAATTATTCCCCGCAGGGCATGACATCCAATCGCATAGTTGAACCTAGCGGTCATGGTTCGGACTCGCAGCAGCTCAGACGCTCTGCGTGCCGAGTGAAGCCCGCTGGCACTGAGAAGGTGCGCGTGATAACGTCGCGCGCAACTTCTGCGAGCCTTCGCTCATGGGCGCTGGCGCGCAGGGGGTGTTCGCGACGGCCGTTGGCGTCGCCGCGTAGAGGTTGTTAACGGCAGTTGTTTTAACGTCCGGATGTATTAATCGATGGCGCAGTTGCCTAAGAAACTGTGTTCCCGATCTTTTGATATGGAGGCCGCTTTCTGTTTAGAAGGGCACGAACAAAAACCTGTTGATCATTGGTTGCGCAAGTGAGCTATGTTTGGCTTGATGCAGCGTGGGGGCTGAAGTCTTGCTCTGCAGGAGGTGAATCGAACAGAGACAGCGAGGGCCCGATGCGCGCCAGCTGCCTCGAGCGCGGTGGCAGATATCGTGGCTTTCGGCCCAGCCCGCCACGTGCGCAAGTGGGGTCTATTTCGCGACCTCGTGATATAATTTTGGGAGCCTTTCTGGGCTTTGGACCAGTTTGTGTTCCCCCTTCTGGGGCTCGCTTGGGAGCCTCTTGGGCGCTCCTTGGGGGCTTGGAAGCCATGCTGGGGCGATCGTGAAGGCTTCTTGAACTACCGTGGGCGCTCTCGCGATCGAGCAAAAGAAACACATAAAACATTGAAGCGCCAGAAGTTTTTTGCGGTCTTGAACTTGTGGGGCGGTTCGCAAATTCTCCAAGACGGCCCAAGAGGTGCCCTGAAGGGCTCCCAGACGGGCCTTGGGAGCATCGTGGAAGTATGGCATGCGAGTGGCATTCCCGAGCTCTCCAAAAATATCACGCGAGCCTCCGCATCAACGCGAGCCCCCAGGAACGCCCGGAAATTATTGCCCCGAGCCCCTTGACAGGGCTTTACAAATACCCAGCGCGGACAATTCGAAGGCATTTGAGGGCCCACCATTCAGTGCCCACGGCAGGGTGGGTGATATTTTGCGACGAAAGGCCCCCGAAGACCCCAGCGGCCCCCCCAAGACCCACATGCAGCCAGCCCTCCAGGGAGTGCAGTCGGAGGCTAAAAACGTGAGAATCATAAACAAACAAAGTGTTTTGGACGTTTTTGGGTTGTGTTCCAATGGTTTCGGTTGGCCTCGGGGCAGTTTCCGAGTGTTTCACCGCGCAATTACGCCCAGAGGGCTGATGACGTTTGCAGCCGAAGCGTGGATGTGTATCGCAGCGGCGTGCTCGTCACGTTTTTGCCAAACCAGGTCCTGTCATGTCCACGCTGCGCGACTGGATGCACCAGGTGCTCAAAAGCCTGCCTGGCTTGTTCGCCCTCCGTGCATGTAGGTCCGGTGTGTCGTGCCAGGGATCGAAGCCCACCCGGGGCGGGCCGAAGGTCGGAAGGTCTCGTGCCCTGGACACGCTGGGGGGACTGGGCCTGGCCCGAGGACGGGGGGGGGGGGACCGAGAGCGGGCCAGGAGCGGCGGACCCCTCTCCGCAGCCTCTCCCTCCCTTTTATCGCCCGCTGCTGCTTCCGCGCCGCCTCTTGCCTTGCCCCGCGGGTGTCGTGATGAGCGCTTTTCGCCACGCTGGCCTCCTCGCTTTTTAACCCTGCCAGGGGTTGTGGCTTGTGGCGGGAGTTGTTGTCTGCGCCTGCCAGCCACCGCCAGAGTCATGGAGCACAAGTCGCGCCCCACGTTGTCCGCACCACCCAGGCATACCTGTACCATATGTGCGTCCACCCGAGGGCGACGCGCACGCTCGGAAGTCTCATAGCACAAACTCCGTGGCGGGCGCTCTCTGGCCAAGACCGTGCGGGACACGGCATACGACCAACATTTCGTACTAGATATTCGTTTCGGACGTGCGGCTCCAACAGAGGCGCACAGCACCAGTATATTCTTATGCGTTCCACACGCCCTCGTTCGACGGCGCCCTTTCCGAGATCCGCCCCCCATCCGCTCTCCCGCCCGTCCTCCGAAGCGGCTGGCGGGCACGGGGCGTGCAACACAGTCACCGTGAAG